ATACCACTTTGATGACTAAGGCGTGCCTGACTCAAGACATCATCAGTTAAATAGCCTCATAGGCATGTGAAAGCAGGGCAACGAATAAGGAAGACTGAAGAAGAATTGATGCCTTTGAATAGTAATGTTGGCAAAAAATAATGAGTGTATCATGGACTGCCAGAAGAATGAACAAATCAGTCTTAGAATAAATACAACCAGAATGCTCCTTAGAAGCAAGGATGGCCAAGACTTCATCTTGCTTACTTTGGACATGTCATCAGGAGGAACCAATCACTGGAGAAGAACACCACGCTTGGTAAAGTAGAGTGTCAACGAAAAAGAGGGAAACCCTCAATTAGATGAATTGACACAATAGCCACAACAATGGGTTAAACATAGCAACAATTGTGAGGATGGTGGGAGACCAGGCAATATCTCATTGTTATACAGAAGGTCACTATGAATCAGAGCCAACTCAATGACATCTAACAATAGCAAATGTATTAAGTAATTCCTTTATACTCCCCAACATCTTGCTACCTCAATACAATCTTTCCAGCTCAGGCATTTGCGAGTAATTACAACTGCATGCTTCTAAGCCCAAAAAGTGAATTAGAATCCTGAAAGAGGGTATTTGTCTGAAATTCCTACATCACAATTGGCTGTTGAAGCCATCTTAATGATACAATTATGTAGCTACTCTCTCAAAGCTGTTTAACCAGCCCACACAAAGCCTGTCTGAGTCAAAGTAAGGTAAGTCTATTCAAGTTGTATCAGCAAGGGCTGTGGAGTTCATGGCAGGGCTTTGAAAGTTCCTTAATGATCTCATACTGTGTGTCACTGTTGGCGCCTCTTTCTGATATTCATTAAGTTAAGACGAACTATCAAATAGTAACTTTACTGAGTAAATGATTTTGGTTAACATTGTAGAGAATTTGAAAAAGACCGATAAAAGAAATAGTGGCTCTCACAAACATGATCTTGTTTTTATTTTTCCTCTGTGATATTGTGCGTAATTACATTTGAGTCCTGAAAAAGGGAATATTTCATGTGGTTTTAGTGTTATCTTTTAAATTGCCTGGGAGATTAGTCCAGTAAAACATTTCAGATTACAACTATTGATTTCAATGGGAAAAATTTGAGGGAAATTTTAATTTTTGCAGAATTGATTTTACATTTTGGTCCTAATCACTCTAACTACCTGAATCCTAGTAGGGGGGGCTTTAGTGAATAACATTTTCAAACTTGACATTGATTAAACTGATGTTGAGTATATTATTGCTGAAATTAATTGTGGATGTTAGGAATCGTGGGAAAAGGAGCACTAATGAGTATGAGATTGTATCTTAGAAGTAAAAAGAGAGTTAGGGGCATAAACAGAAATTTTGATTCCTTGAAATGAAATGTCTTGATTCAACAAACTTTAATTGCATTGCTACAATGTACCAGACATAACATCTGTAAATACAAAGATGAATACATCTCCATTCTGATGGGTTCACAGTGTAGTGGGGCAGACAGATATTCAAGCAAACAATCCGAAGAGAAAAGTGCCATCACAGAGGAATGTGCAGAGGAGGGAGCATAGAAGGCATGATTAACTTTGGAAATGTGGGGACACAAAATCAACATCTATCTATTCCTTGGATGTTTCTGCATTTGCAATCACCCAGGGAAAATAGCAAAGCACAATGAATAAATTGGTCTTCAGCAAGTAGACACCTCTTGCATGTTTAAAGATCATGGAAAAAATGGATCTTATATGTAAGCATAAATCTTCCAGGAATTCAAAACGGTCTGTGAAAGACTTTGTTGAATGAGCTTCACCACTCAGAGGTTAGGGAATTATGACCAAGGCTCATTACTGAGGATTTTTTTTGACTACTGCAGTCTCCAGGTTTGTCAAGGCTTGTAGCTAGGGTTGCCAACCATGTTTCAGCTAAATTTCGTAGAATTTATTTGAAAAGCTTCAGTAAGGGTGAATTTGGAAGGAATTTTTCTTTATGTCTAGGTAGAGTGTTGGTGGGAACATTGATACCTACTTTGTATCATTTATAAATGAAAATATTTTAGACTTACTTATAATTGTATTTTCTAAATGAAGAAATCTGCTGTTAGATGTAATAGGCAGCAGATATTTGCAACTTTTGAAACTCAATTATCTCAGTAAATACAGCTAAGCAAGATAAAAATCTAGTTTCTTTTTCTCACTGTGTTCTAATCTGCTTATAGTCAACACGGAATACCCCCTTTCTATAATTTAAGTGATTATAAGAAAACTGGATGTGCAAATGTTAGTGACCTGGATCATGTGATTCCATAAATCTCATTACCTTTGATCTCATCTTACTAATTAAGTTCTCATTAGTGTGCCCATCTTTCAAGTCATTCTTGGAAGTACTAAAGAAAACTTTGATTGATATTCACCTCAGATGTACTTCCTCCACATTGGATTCATTTTAATTTACTATCACCCTATCATTTATGATCCTTTCAACATGGAGAGAAATCCTACCTGACTCCATTTGACTACTTTGCAAATGAAATCGTACAGGTAACTGATAATGCCTTATTCCCAAATAAGGCCTTATTCCCAAATCCACATAAATGATAACCTATGATAGAAGAACATTGACACATTATTTGGAGTTGGGATGCAATGTTCTGTTACAAAACATATGGAATAAATGCAAAAGCAAAGGTACTCAAAAGCTCAGTCATGGAGCGGCAATTTGTAAAGGAAGGTATATTTCAACTATTAGGGAATGACTGCAAGAAACGATTGTGTTAACTTTTCAAGTTTCGAATAATACTGTTCCAGTGATTTGCCTTTCCTTTTACTAAACATTGAAGTAGTTAACAACAGTGACTCATTTACTTTGCTTCTCCTCATTAATTATGTGATTTTCTTAGACAAATCTTTCAGTGTTGCCTGACCTGCTCTGTTCTTTCCGAAGCCATGCTACTTACTGCTCAGTACTTTGTTAACTCCACTTTCTTCCTGTTCTTTCTAACGTTTTGCTTTGGTGTTTATTAACCGGAATTTTATTTCTGGGCAGACTCTTCCTGCTGAAGAAAGCGGCTGTAAATCAACAGAGAATAGCCACTCTTGGCATGATTCTCCTATTACTGTAACTAGAAGTGGCCTGTGGTATACCCACTGTTTCCCTGTGCCGGCTCGGTCCTTTTCAACTAAGCTTGATTTATGATCCTATTTTTCTTTCCTTTTTTTAATGAAATGAAACATTTTGAGCCTACTGAATCCCAGTGATATATTGCTGCATTTCAAAGCGCTTGCGAATTCAGTTCCAAACTCTAACTTGGGCCTGTTCTGTGAGTTTGATCAAATCAGGTAGCTTTTCTTTGTCAATTTCCTCTGTGTAGAAGCCAAAAGTGATCAATTAGTAACTTATGATAGTAACTTACGGTAGTGGTGTAGGAAGATTTTTGCTGCTTTTGTGATTCTACGGTGATTAAAACTAGCCCCAGAAAAATCAGGATTTGGATAAAATTTGTCATAGGTAGTATGTTTTCCATTTTTCTACGATAGAGCCTCCTTCTTCTTCCTAAAACTCAGTGAATTTGGCAACCCAACTGCTTCAAATGCAGGACTCCTCCTAGCACGGCACAAGGCCAATCATTCAGATTATTCTTATTTTCTCTATCAATATTTATCTGTTATACATCTCCCTTTCTCTTAGCTGGTTGTATTTCCATAAACTAATGAACAAAAGTACGAATGTAAAATCAGATGTTAATAATGTCGAAATATCACAGAGTATTCCGGCCAACCCCAATCTAATTTTATTGCCATCTGCTTTCCACAGATACTAATAACTGGTATAAACGGAAAAGTTTCAAACCAGAGGCACTGTGTCAGACGTCAACATGCATTCCCAGGAAGCAGAAGGTCAGGATGCAAACCACTTGTTCATGGTAAGAATGTGTCAGATGTAAAGAACCTGTTCCCAGGAAAAATGTGTTCATGCCTGCAATCATGTATAAACAGTCCGGCTAGCACAATTCACCTAGTTGGTAACTCTCTCCCTCCTAGCCAAGTGGCTGACCTTTACATTTCAAAGTACTTCAAGCTGAAGCTGCTCTTATCTGTAATTAATCATTAACCCCCTACCTTTCCTTTGTTCTCTTTATATATAGACCCCTTTCTCCACTTGAGAAAATTTTACATCTCCTTTTTGTCATTGTCAAGTTTTGAGTTCTAGTTTATCTTTATTTGAAGTGTTACTTATGACTCTGTGACTTTGGTTCTGCTTGACCTGAGGAAGGTCCTTAGTTGAGACAGTAAGATCTTGACGTACCAAAAAGTGCATAGTCATGTTAAAAGAGGCCTAGTTTGTGTGGGAGTTTGTTTCATTTCTCCTGCCTAGAGTTTCTTTTCTCACATTTCATTTAAGCAAGATTTATGTATGTTTGCCTCCCCATATGAAAGAGGGAGCCAGCAATGCAAACAAAGTGAAGTGATTAGTAATGCTTGCATTAAATTCCAGCAGGAGGTCAGGCTTTGTCTTGGTTATGTAGTGCTGCTGTAACAGAAATACCACAAGTAGTTGGCTCTAACAAATAGAAGTTTATTCTCTCACAATCTGGTAGGCTAGAAATCCAAACTCAGGGTGTCAGCTCCGGGGGAAGGCGCTCTCTCTCTGTAGGCTTTGGGGGAATCTTCTGGTCTAGGAGATTCTCCATGCAGGGAACCTTGGGTCCAAGGGACGCACCCTGCTCCCGTCACTGCTTTCTTGGTGGTATGAGGTCCCCACGTCTCTCTGCTCCCTTCTCTCTTTTATATCTCACAAGAGACTGACTTAAGACACAATCTAATCTTGTAGATTGAGTCCTGCCTCATTAATATAACTGCCGCTAATCCCACCTCATTAACATCATAGAGGTAGGATTTGCAACACATAGGAAAATCACATCAGATGACAAAATGGTGAACAATCACACAGTGCTGGGAAGCACGGCCTAGCCACATTCATACACATTTTTCGGGAACGCAATTCAATCCATAATAGGCGTGTTCAAGAAATCAGGAGAGCTAGGTCAGAATGGGATAAGGATGGGAAATATTATGGGGGAGTGAGAATGTCCATGCTGATCTCTGATACTGATCCATCCCTCTCCTGACTCCTTGGTTCACTATGGACCAGCCATTGATTCCTGAGAAAACTGAAACCTCTTTTGAGTATCGTGGTTGCTTCATAATTCCGTGGTCCTGTTCACTCCTGTAAATCACATCTTGTAGATATAGTCACATTTCAGAACTCACCCTTTGTGTCTTTAAATGAATCATTATTCACCATCCATAGAAAATCAAAAGCTGCTGAAAAGACCTAAAATGGATCACTACAGGAATATTTTTTTGCTTTATACAGAATTCACCTTGATTTGTGGGCACTTTCAAAGACAATAGAACAATACTAGGGAGAGTGTCAACCATTTCTCTTCTCTTTTATTAGAAAAATTGTGTTTTATGTAAAATATCACTTCAGAACCGTACCCAACCTTCAAATCAAATGTTAGTTGATCCAAAGGAAGGAGGTCTGGGCAGATGCAGATGTTTTTAACACCAGAGCATCTTCTGATTGCACAGCTGTTATAAGATGAGGGTACTGATACAGGTGTTTGTGATCTCATAGAAAGCTTAGAAAGTACCGGTGATTACATTAAAGTCTATTTTAACCACAGCATAACTCAACAACGATTGATATTAGTCAATGATGAAAACTGTACCCAACATTATGCAGTAATCAGGCCATTAGTCCAAACGTATTTCTTTCTCAGAAACACTGTTCAGTCACCTTATCCTACCTCTTTGCTTTGTGTTTTTTATTAAAACCTTTGTATTTTTGTGCCTGAACATTTTTCATTTTCTCTCTGTCTCACTTTTTTTTAATGCTTTCCTAACTTCATTGGCTTCAAAATGTGCAGGTGGACTATAGTTACCTGATTTCACTGTGAATCCTTTACCTCTGCTGTTTTCCTTTGTGAAATTAGAAGAACAGAGCAAATCAACGAGTATTTGAAAGCTTAGGGCTTCTGAAGGCTCCAATGTCAAAGTTCCAATTGAATCTATAGTCTTCTTTCAGTTATCATAACTCCACCAGCAAAGGGAATTTCTTCTAAACAAACTTTTTACATGATTTTAACAGATAAGAATGAGACATGCCCTTTGTTGAGACATATTTCAGAGAAACTGAAACTGAAATTAGTTTCTCTATGGTAGTAAATAGAGTTTAGTAGAAAAAAAAACTAAAATATTTTCCAGAATTAAAAAAATAATAAGTATACTTTTGAGCACTGACATGTGTTTGGACATAAATTCAACACTCCAAATAAGAGAAGCTTCTCCAAATAAGTTCCAGATAATAATGCAGTGTTCTCCTTATTAAGTTAGTAACCCATGAAAAAATATTTATTTTTTGGACACAGATTGTTTGATGACTTTGTTTTGAAAACTGAGCCCTGGTAAAGAAAATTGAGTAATCTTTTATGTTTTCAGTCAACTTTTCGAGAGATTTACAAACTGCAACACTAATTCTTCCTTCAGTATTTTGTAACTTTCACCATGTGTGTAACTTTGTTGCATGCAGATAGGAATACTGAAGGAGTATAAGGCACAGAATTCACTTTCCACAGAGCACAGACTTATACTTGGAACTTAATAGGGCACATTGAGGGGAAAATAAGAAGACACATCTAACTTGGAAGAAAAGCTTGCTCCCAGAGTAAGTGGTGACGACTTTGGATAGGCAGGTATGGGATGGACCACAAGGATCTTTGAACGTCACACTACTTACTGTATCCAAGGAACCAGCAGAATTGTTTGAGGAAGAAAATGTTGTGTAGAAATCAATGATCCTAAAAAATTCATCTGCTGGTGTTCTCTAGGAAGTATTGAGGGGAAAACCACAAAAACAATGGAAATAAATTAGATTGCTATTGAAATGGAATGAGAATGTATAATGAGTATCGCTGGTAGGAATAGAAAGAATGGAATAGATGTGACAAAACTCTCCAAGAAAGAATTGACTTTGAGGAGAGGAAACAATTAAAAATGATTTTGATATTTTTATTTATTCTAAGTGACTAGAAGATAGTAGATGTGCTAAGAGAAATAGAATGTTTGGGGATGGAACTAACTTTGGGGAGAGGGAATGAATTCAATTTGAATTAAAGGAAAGAATGTCAAAGACTGGTAAATGATTATTTAAAATAGATGTATAGAAAGTGATGATTTAAAATCTATAAAAGAGTTTCCACTGAGCCATCGGTCTGAAAATAGAGGCGTTATAGCCCCAGCACAGCCTCATGTTTGGAACTATTGAGAAAATAGATACAATCAGATGAGAACTATTTCAATTTCCTCCAAACAAATCCAGCAATACTACTTGCATTTGTACCCACATGCTCTACCTTTTCTTACAGTGGAAACCATATAATTACTCCTAATGCCTTTATGCTCTGTATCCCATTCCCTCAGACTAACTTAGGTTTCTCATCCCTGAGATTATCCCCACAGCAGGTATGCAGGCCTAAATATTTCCCATCCTAAAAACATTCCACCATGACACTGAAGGAATTCTTATCAAAATTATCAGTGACCTTCGTCTTGTCAAATCCAATAACCAAAACTCTATCTTTATTGTATTTTTCTTCTTAGCAGTATTTGACATAGTCAGCCAGGCCCTTCTTGAAACACTTTCTTGCCTAGGCACTTTTAATACCACACTCTCTTGGCTTTCTACCAGGCTGTTAGTTCTCAGTCTCCTTTATTAGCTGCTTCTGAGAGTACACTGCAGCTATGTCCTTGACCCACTTTTCTATCCATATGCTTGCCCAGGTTAATTTCATCCATCATTATTGTTTAAACACCATCTATGTGTTGATGACTTCTCATTAGTATCTCTAGCACCAACTTTTTCTATGGGGTCCAAAATGTTATACCTCTGTTGATTATTCTCTGTTCTGCAACCTTCAGGTCCAGGGATCTGATCTTTATGGACTATCTCTCCCCAGCTCACTTGCCCTCTGTCTTCTGGTTGAATGTGACTAGTGGATAAAAAGGGAGACTCCATGAGGAAGAGAGAGAGATTGGTTATTAATTACCCCCGCTGTCTCATTGCTTTGCCATGATTTCTGCACTGCTATATTTTTCAATGTCCATAGCATTGCGGGGTGTCCTCTTTTCCAAATCTCTAGTCCTCACTGAATTCCATTAATAGTTTCCTTTCCTTGCCCCTTTAGGCCTACGAGAGGTAATAGCTTCTGACTTTTACTAGCCTCATGGTCCATCTCTTTTAGGACCTTAAATTGCCAATATCACTATAAATTGTCTCTTCATTAAATTATTTTCAATAAAACCTTAGAGTGGGCCATCTGTTTTTCCCACTGGGATTTTGACTAATACACCTACCAAACCTGCTCCAACCACAGCTTTTCCTATCTCAGTTGATGACTATCCCATCTTTCCAGGGGCTTACAACAAAAATCTCGTGCTTCTCTCCTTCTCTCAAATATTATATTCTATCCATGTTGGCAATAGCCTTAATCTAGATCTAGAATCCAATCATTTGTTATGACCTCTTCTGATACCACTCTGACACAAGATGATACTATCTCTTGCCAAGATTACTGCCATAGCCTCCAAACTGGTCTTCCTGCTTCTACCCTTGCCTTCCTAAAGTCAGTCTTCATTATAGCAGCAAGATTATACCACTCTTTGCTGAAAACCCTGCAATGGCCTTCCCCTTTCACACAAAGTAAAAAAACAAAGTTTTCATAATGGCCCATGGGGCCTGATATGATCTGACTCACTTGACTACTATTTTGGCTTTCAAAGAACTAGTATGCTGACCTTATCACAATTATTGATGAATATAATATGGAGTCCCTGGATGGTACAAATGGTTAGCGTGCTC